AAAAGGAAGTTCATCTTTAGTTCTAGTTTGCTGTGGGTTTTTATCTTGAATGTATGTCATAACATTTAAATGCTTTTTCTGCCTCCTTTGAGCTAATTACATCATTTTTCTCCTTTAATCTGTTGATGTGATAGATCATATTAATTGATTTTCACATGTTAAACCAAATCTTGGTTTAACATTCTTAGATAATTGGATGTGTTATATTCTTTGCAGAATGTATGTATTGTATTTCTGGGATAAATGATACATTTGCTATATTTGATTTACTAACATTTATTATTAGTTGCACCTGTTTATTAGTTTGAATGGCCTAGGTTGTTTTCCTCATAATGTTCTTGTGAAATGAAGAATGTTCTTTCTTTTTTTAATACCTTGGAATATTTTGTGTAAAAATGGAATTATCTGTTCCTTGAACATTTGATAAAACTTGCCAGCAAAACCATTTGGGCCTAATGTTTTGTCAGATTTTAAGCTACCATGGGAGATATGGTCTATAATTAGGGTTCCACATCCTGGAATCCTGTTATAACCTAACATTTCTGAAAGAGAGGGCATGAACATGGACTTCCCCTTACCAAGATTGATCAGGCTCCCACCATTGCTGAGTGTTCACCCTGCTGACAACAGAGGCCAACGCGGAGTTCTCAAGATAGCAGCGGTCCCCACAGAAACCAGCTGAAACATGGTGGCTCATAGGAATACGTACATATTCCAGATGTGAATGTTCCTTCCCTGTCCACAAAGTTCCTGCTAATATCATCCTTCATGGACTTAGAGAATGCCTTATTTATTGCCATAAAACATTGCCTCCGAACAAGGAAGTCGTATTGCCACAATGGTAAGTGAAGGAACCCATCTTACCTCCATGGTATACCACAATGGTACAGTAATGGGCTCAAGGCCAGAGAATTCACTGTTTTTACCATATGGCCCTCACTCAAAACCAGCTGGCTTTGCAGAACGAAGGTATAGCCTGCCGCAGCATTAGCTTTACGCCAGCTGGGAGACAACACCTACAAGGTTGGGGTTCTTCCCTCCAGAAGATAGTATATACCAGAATATACCAATCTGAGAACCAAGGGGTGGAAGTGGAGTAGAGTAGACCTTTTACCAGCCACTGTCACTTTGGGCCCAGTAGGTTCAGAGGTTCTAATACCCAAACACAGTCCTGGTCCCATTAAATTGTAAGTCAAGACTTGTTTTGGGGAAAATCCCGTGACAATATAGAAAAACCACCCCCCAAACTGAGAGGCTTCCAGGAGACCAAAGAATGACACCGACAAGTCCAGCTTGACAAGTTAGATGAGTTTATTAGAGGTTACTTATAAGGGTGCTTGCTCCTGGGCAGCACAGGAATTTCTTCCACAGCTTTCTTACATGCAAAATCCACATCTGCTCACCCTGTGGTGTTGTCTTAAATTCCTTCCCAATGAGTGATGCAGAGCTTTTACATTGTATCATTGTTTGTTCACAGTTAAACAAATCACACACGCAGAGTGCCCTCATGAACCCATGTTGTTAATAATATTACAGTTCTCTACTACGTGGGGATTTCAGTATACAACGAGCTAAACGGCACTATAGGATTGCTAAAGCAGTTCTAAAGCAGTCAGGGCCAGTCTGTGCTGGCAGTTTCAAGTCAAGAAAGTGCTGGGCACAATCCCCCCACTCTCTCCCACCCCCACCCCGGTAGTTATCTTGGTACCTGCTTAGTCTACTTTGTAACAATTTTGCTGAGCACCCCAGGCCAGCGCAGTGTTTCTGTTAAGTGGTGGGGAACCAGCTGGGACTACAGATGCACACCACTGCGCTTGGCTAATTTTTCTTTTTTTTTGTAGAGACAGGGTCTCACTCTTGCTCAGGCTGGTCTCAAACTCCTGACCTCAAGCAATCCTCCCACCTCAGCCTCCCAAAGTGCTGGGATTACATGCATGAGCCACCGCACCCGGCCATCCTGGTCTTTTTGGGCTTCTCAGGCTGCTGAATCAATAATCAGAAGAGGTGGCTATCCTACTTGCTGGGTGATTGATCCTGATTATGAAGGGGAAATTGGTTTGCTGCTACACAGTATATCAAAAAAACTACGGGGGAGCCCAGAAAATTCTCCGGAGGTACTTAATAATACTCGCTCACCCAATAGAGTTGGCTGATGGAAAAATGCATCATTTCTCTAAAACACCATCAAGAAGCATTGCTTAAGGACACCTGCTGAATGTTAAACACATCATTTCTGCTCATGTACCTTTGGCCAGAATTTGGTCCTGTGGCCACAGTTGGCTTCAAGGGAGGCTGGGAAAAATCCCTTTTTTTTCAGCTTATCATTTGTTCCCCCAAAATGACTATTACTATAGAAAAAGAAAAGCAAAAACATTGAGAGACAATTAGCAGTCTATGCCATAGGTGGAAGATAAGAGCAGGAGGGG